TTTTAAAAAACAAAAGATAGAAAACTTTTATAGTTTTTACCAAAAAGAGACGATAAATATGAGATCATGATGTTGCCATGTACTAAATATTATACAATGCCCATGTATTTGGACTAGTACTCAGTAAGTATGTACAATTCTGCATAGTTAAAAATAGACAAAAAGCTTTACAGAACATATGAGGGAACCAAGTTTTTTTTTAATATTTTATTCTATTTCAAAGCAGAGTCACAGATGGAATGGGAGAGACAGAGAGATGTTTTCATTCAAAGTTTCCCTCCCCACATGGCCACAACAGCCAGGCCAGAACCAGGTTGAAACAAGTAACCGGGAGCTGCAGGTGGATCGCCCATGTAAGTTCAGGACTTGGGCCGTCTACCATTGGTCTCCCAGTCACATTACCGAGGAGCTGGATTCAAAGTAGAAGAGCTGAGACACACCCTGCACCCACTACAGGATGCTAGTATGCAGGCACTGTGGGAAGCACTGTGGAGAAGACAAGAGGATTTAGAATTTCACTCATGCCTCTCATTGATCAAATCAACAATGCCGCTCATTAAATATGACGTGTCACTAATAGGTACATCCGGTTTTGAAAATGTTAAAGAGTGATCAAATGCGCAGGCTGCAACTTGGAAGTGGCAGAAGTGAGAGTCTTCCCCAGCGTGTTAAGGGTGGGCAAGCTGATGCACTGTCAGGCCGCAGGACAGGGAGGCGTGTGCAGGAACCCCTACACTCCTGCTAGCCCTTGCTAACAGCCAGCAAGCAGCCAACTGAGCAAGATGGAAATGAAGCTCTCTTTAAGACGAAGCTCACAGAGAAAGGCAATGGCGTGAAAACAGACCTGTGACGTGATGTTCATAACAAAAGTGACACACAGAACTGACTCACAGATGCCAAAAAGCACAGCTTGTTCAAAAAGGGATTTTTAAAAAGCCTTTCAAATGTTAATGCTGTCTCCAGATCCTGGAATTATAGGTAATTTCTTTCCCTGCTTCTTCATATTCCTCTTTTGTGAAAGTTCCATGCATGGCAAAAGTATTTTTATAGCCATAAATAAGAAGATCAAATATTAAACATTTTAATTTGCAAATTGTGGGCTGGGGCAGGCACTGGTTTATTGACATGGTAGATGCACAGCAATGACATTAAACTATAAGAAGCCCTCTTTAACGACGAGCAACGATATTCCAGTAGTGATGGCAGGTCACAGCATCCCAACATTTGCAGGTAAAAAGGCTAATGTTTACTTTTTGCATCCAACAACGTATAAAGCTGACAATTATTTTTATCTTTATTATTATTTTTTTTTTTACATAGGAGGCTTCAAGAACATCCTTGCCGTTGCTTAAAAATGGGAAGGGGTTAAGTGTTTCAAATTCCCTACCAGATCTTGACCTTGACATAATAATGTAACTAGAAGAAACACATCTGGTCACACTGCTGATAAAAGTCTCCTGCTAACGGTAGGCACCACTGTCTTGTGCAAGATGGATTTCTCTCTTTATAAAAAGGACTGCTTGATAAGTAGCTGTCACGGCTGGAACCAGAGGCTGATACTTTCTTTGCTCTGTTATCTTGACAGAATTGTTTTTGAGCCCCACATCCTCCAGTACCAATATATTTCTCTTCTCATATTGAAAAGAAATATTTGATAAAGAATAAAGATCTGAAAATGTAAATATTGCACTTGCCAAGACTGAAACAACAAATACGCTACCTTTACTTTGCGTAACCCCAGCAAATAGACAGGCTGAAAGTCTGGGATGAAAGAAATTTCCTAATTGTTTATAAAGTTTGTAAAAAATACTCCATCAGAAAACATCTTTTTTGGTATAGATTTGCTAAACACCTAAAATAGCAGGCAGGATAACAGAATGAGTGTCCCAATGAAAATATATGGAATAGTGCTTTTATATAAGAAGTCAAATCATATCAGATTTAGTAATAACAAGTTTGATCATAATACAGTCAGAACGTACATATTTAATTTTTAAAAATTGAAACTCAACACTAAAAGTGTATATTTTTAGGGGATGCCTTTTGATGATTCTATGCACAACAGAATGCCCAATCAACGTAACCAGTAACTATCTCTTCAAATATCTAACCTTCCTTTTTAAACTCTTTTCTTCCAGTTTTTTTTAGAGCGACACACAGGACATTATCTGTAGTCTCGCTTCCACTGCGTAGAACACCAGCACTTCTTACGCCTTCTGAACTACAGCTTGGCACCTGCAGTCAGTCTTTTCTCAGCCCTCCCTTCCAGTCTCTTCAGCCCCTGGGAACCACCACTGTAACCCCAAGCTTCCTTGAGACCAACTTTTTCATCTCCACATGACTGAGATGATGTGGTAGCGGTCTTTCTGACTGATTAGAGTTACTGTAACCTGTCCCCGTTCCATCCATGCTGGCACAATGACAAAGCTTTATCACCTCTTATGGTGGACTCAAATTCCATTCCATTGTGGATATGGACCACCTTTAGTTATTGAGCCATTAGTTGATGGACACTTAGGTTTTTACCATTTCCTTGCTATCATGCTGTATATTTAACTTTGGAATGTTAAACATAACAAAGCAAATTCTTGATAGCATTTATTATACCTTCTATCACAGAAATAACTTCTTGAGTTAAAGCAAATCTTTAAAGAGCAGCTTCCAGCCACAGATCTCTCTTAAATGGCCACATAAAGTATGTAAGAATGAGAAACACGGGGCCAGCGTGGTAGCCTAGCAACTAAAGTTTTTGCCTTGCATGCCCTGGGATCCTGCTTTTAATTACATGGCCCCGCTTTCCATCCAGCACCCTGCTTTTGACTTGGGAAAGCAGTTGAGGATGTCCCAAAGCCTTGGGACCCTGCACCTACATGGGAGACCTGATAGGAGCTTCAGATCAGCACAGCTCTGGCCATTGCAGCCGCTTGGGAAGTGAACCAATGGACAGAAGCTCTTCCTCTCTGTCTCTGCTCCTTTCTGTATATCTGCCATTCCAATAAAAAAATAAAATAAATCTTAAAAAAAAGAATGAGAAACACAAATGCATACTGCTACAAAATGCCTAGAAAGCAACTGCCTGATGTGTGGGCACACAGTCAAAGCAGCCCAAAGAAACATTTCTTATTACAATTATGTGCAGACAATCAAAGATTTCTAATCCTAGATATGAAAACACTGCAGAGCTCCAAGCTACCACATTTCTGTCAATGAGTCAAGCCAAAGGTAATCGTAACTGGAATGGGCAAAGGATGGTAACTTCAAGGTAACAGTTTTGTGGAAAATCTTGGCCAAGGAATAGAAGTAAGTATTAAGTTATTGTGCTAACGCCTACTTGTCACCTTGCATAGTGTGACTCAGAACACAGCCCACAGAACAAGATTGGATGTACCTAGTGTTGCCAGCACTTATTCACTCTCACCGAAATCCATTCTGCTATTTACATTGCGCATCCTTTGTCCTAGCAAGAGGTGGAGATGATACAGCTGAAGCTAAATGCAAACACCAGTAAGTTTAGGGACCCAAGAAGTACTGACTGCCTGCTTAAAAAATAATCCAAGGTAGTTAGGAACCAAAGTAATGGCTTTTTCATTGCTTAAGTAAGACAGAAAAAAAAACTACTCACTCAGGAAAATGCATGTGGTATATGACAAAGATCTATTAAGTTGCCAGTCATCCATTCTTTCAAGAACCATTTATCAAAATGCCATAAAACATGCTATGTAATCCATTACGTGGAATTTCTACATAAGTAAGAGAGAGTGTGGTTAGCATCAAACAGAAGGGCAAAGCTTTTTATCAATGGAAAATTCAGGAAGGAAAATGGCAGTTAATTGCAACTGGGAAAGGTTTTATGGTATACATAATAGACGAAGTTGAGCCTGCGGGGTGCATAGAATTGGTTAAGTCAAAGAATGGAAGGAATGGATGCTCCAGGATCCACAGCAAGAAGAGACTCAGAAAAGGGAAAGTGCTGGGAACAAAAGGCAGAAATGCAACCTAAGCAGGAAGACTGGCCCTCCTAGGGAATAGAGCCGACACAGCATCTGGACACATACACCAGTGCCAGATGGCAAAGAGTTAGTGCTGGGCCTTGGACAGGAAGGGAGGGTTTCTCGGACAGTGACCTCCATCATTGCGTGTCTATCCTGTGTCACCTGGGATGTTCAACATGTAGATTCTCAGATGCCACTAGAAATAGAAACCTAATTGTTTTAAACTCCTGTGGTGTCTCATTATCAGTCAGATTGGGTCGAAGGGAAGAAATGCCTGGAGAAGTGAAGGATTCTGACCTCTTCCACAGCAGTCTAATAAGAGGAAAGAGGAAAGGGCTACCAGCATTGAGAAAAGTACCTCCTGCTGGGATGTGGGGTCAAGGGAAAAGACCAGAGGTCACTAGGTATGAAAGAACAGGGCATTGGCTGTGCTGCCCAGGCATGGGGCACACTTTGCTTCCACCGAGGCCCATCTGGATATTTACAATATCATCTGTGGGTCATCCAAAATTATCAACTGAACAATTAGCCTGTTGCAAGGTTATTTTTGAGTCCCACGTGCGGTTGCTTCAGCAGAACCTGACCAAATGATGACAATGTTGCCTGCAGGTTGGATGCTCCCTACCCCGGCGAAGGGACTCACCAGGAGAGCCAACTGCCTTTAGGCAAAGACATTAAATGTGGACATCCTGAGTTATTTACGGGATGAGAAATTGGGTTATAGACGCACAGGAAAATTAATCTGCAGATTTGAACACACAGTTTCCCAATACATCTGTTGCTAGGTACTGCTGTGTAACCAAGTTTCATCAGTTATCCTCAGAAGGGCAGTTACATTTCTCTCCTATGACAGACAAATGATAACATAGCACCACGATTAAAATATTAACCAAAACACATGGAATATTCCTGAGAAAAAGAAAGTCTGAAACACTGAGGATTTTTCATCACTATTTTAAATACTTCTCAGTTTTCTGTTTTCCTCCTTTAAGATGTCATAATTCTTACCTTTGTTGCTAAGGCTTTTAAACTGTCAAGGAATCTTTGCCAGAAATCCTTAAAGAGTGGGCGATCAATTTTCTTCAGGCTATCTTTGGTGCTGGGGGGCAAACTGACATACAACTGAGTAACTGGCTTGAGGTTTCTTGGCAATTATTTTTTAAAAAGAAGAGAAAGAGGAAAGCAAGAAAAATAAAAGCAAAATTATGTCTGTAGCAGGCTCCCCACGACATAAAATTTACAGTTTATAACAAGTGTGGTAATTAAACATTTCACTGGATCGAGAGACTTGTACTTCTTTCCAAAGACTGAAGCAATGATTTTAATAATGTGATAAAATAAGATGTCTTCTGGTTATTTTTCAAATGACTTGGGACCGTCTCCAACAAATGGAAACCATTAAATTATTTAAAATTGGTCCCTTTTTAAACACGGGGTTTTTGTGGGATAAACAGAACGAGCTCTAACTGTAAATCTGGCAGCTTTATCACAATACAATCAGGGAGCTTTTCAGACTTAACTCTCCCTACAAACTCTGTCCCTCAAGGCACACACACAGTTGAAGCCTCGCAGTGCTGTGGGGTCTGGGATGAGGGGCCAGCCCCCACCCCATCAACTCAGTGATAGAAGACTTCAAAGGGACAAGACACAACCCAAAGCTCAAGTCTTATTTAGAGGGCACAAAGCCGTGTCTGTACGCCTCAGAAAGTGGGAGTGAGCTGAAAGTCAGCCCTTGTGAGCACAAATGACGGCCTATTGGGGGATTCGAGCAACTCAGCCAGAGCAGCAGCACTGAGAACCTCCGGCCCCCGAGCCTTGATTTGCTTTGCCTTCTCTGCTCCTGTGAAGATCACTCACTCACCGCTTCTCTCAGATTCTCTTCTCATAATTTCACTCCTGTGTCTATTGGATTTATTGCAAAGTATGCTTTAAACCTAGACTGTGCTAGGTCTGTTCCCCCCCCCCCCTTCGAAATGGGCTTTGCAATCTATTCAGTGAATTTAAAACAAGAAATTGGAGAGAAAACCTCTCTCAATAATCTCATGGATTTTTCTTCTATGACTTATCTATAACTATTTCTCAATGTATTGTACATTTGTCTAGAGAATATTACTTCTGGGATCTAGCACAATGGCTCACTGGCTAAACCTTCGTCGTGGACAGGCCAGGATCCCATGGGGTGCCAGTTCATATCCCAGCTTTTCTTTCTGAAATTTCCTTTATAAATATTACTGGCATGCTTAAACAGGCCAACAGGTGTCCGAGGCTCTTGATAGTTTTTTGGTGAGTCCACCATTCACGTGCTGTTATTTGGTCCTTTGCAAAGGATTCCCTCTGGCGCTTTAAAAACATTTAAAATGTCTAAATTCAAGTCTTGCCTAGCAAATCCACCATCTAGGTTTCCTCGGGGCGAGGTTCTACTGGCCGTTTTCCCTATGTGTGGGCCAAGTCCGTTGTTTCTTTACATACCTTGTCGCTTTTCTTTCCTCACAAAAACACAACATTTTAAGCTCTATTATGTGGCAACTCTAAAAATCAGCCTAGAAGGTATTTTTTGAGAGGGGCAGGGAATCGATAGATTTTTATTTGTTTGTTTATTTTTCTTTTGCAATTGTTTTTTTCTTTTTACTGAACTTATCTGGTAAATGCGATATTGCTGTGTATGTTCACTGAAGTCTGTATTCAGTCAACTTAGTGGCCAGCTAATGATTGGACAGAAATAACCTTGAGTTCCATTACCAATAATTCTCCCAGCTTTTGCCTCGGGGCTGCTGTATGTGTGTTGGCACATGTTTTCCATGCCCAGGCAAGCAGTTGACCACCCAGAATGGTATCGGTTAATACCACAAAGCATACAGGTCCAATGTTTAGCCAATTTCCTTCAATAAATGCTCCTTCTATTTTTGCATGCCTTTAACATTCACAGCTAAGAAAAAGTAGATTCAAATAATTTTTGCCAGTATTTTGATTTTTTTAATTGTATTTTTAAATTGTTTGTACTCTGTCATTTGTGCTGGCATGCAATCCATAAGGTTTCTTTACTGCCACCATTCATCAAAATAATTTTTTGGCCTATTGTGATCTATTATCTGAATCATAATCAAATAGGAAGTGGACTGTATAAATCTCAAACACATTGGAATATTCTAGTCATCTTTTATATTGATTTCTGGTTTCATTCCATTGTGGTCAGCTGTTATCCCCAATGTGATTTCAATACTTTGTTAAATAAAGAAATTAAGAAATTAATAAGGAAATTAAGAAATTAATAAAGAAATTAAAAGAATGTAAGGAAATGAAAATGCAAATTACTTTGGTTGACACAATATAGGCTTATACTGCATAAATATGTATAGCTTTAAAAATTATATAAAGAAAATTTTAACTATTTCATTGTAACATGTTATAATGTCCAGCACATAGGCTGTTGGGTAACTGCTCTGTTTTCTTGAAAAGAATTTGTATTGCAAAGCTTCTGGTTGCAATTCTCTATTTCTGTAATTGCTGTAATATGTATATTAGTTGGGTTGACCCTGAAAGATCCAACTAATTGTTAGGGCTTGGTCCACAACAATGGTTAGTAGACTAGCGCCCATAGCCAATGGATTAAGAGGTAGCGTCTGAATCTAACCTTCAAAGTGATTAGATAAAGATGCTGAGGCAGAGCCCGTGGTTAAGTCATGGTGGCTTCATAGAAACGTGGACATGGAGGACGAGCCTGCTGCCTGTCTCTCTCTGCTGCTGAGCTTTACTGCAGGATCCTTCAACATGTATCCCATCATCCACTGCCTTTACCAGACAAGACCAATGCTCTACCCAAACCGTTGCCAAAACTGTGAGCTGAACTAAACCTATTTTCTTCAAAGTAGCTTCTCTCAGATATTTCTTATAAATCACAGTCATTAACAAGAGGAGTACAGATTAAATTTATTATCTCAGCCATTAATACTGCTACTGATATTGATATGCTTATTTTATCAACCTGAAAAAAAAAATTATGATTCTGCAGCTGCATGTTTTGAATTCTTACATGGTTTTATATTCCTGGTAAATAGAAATTTTCATTATTAATAAATGCTTTAATATAATAATCAAGACATGGATTTTGCCTTCAAGCATATCTTGTCAAAAAAAAAATCCCTTGGGTATCACTTCTAAGGCAAAACTCCAAAGTATTTTTATACATTATCTCATACACATATAGTGCCACCATAATGAGCACAAATTATTTTTCAAGTGAGGTGACTAAGCACTTGAAAGGCAGGAGGGGGTCCCACCAAGACCCTCTAGCACAGAGCATGAGCTTGTCACTGACTGCACTGCTGCTTCTCAGCCAATCTAGAGATGTGTTACCTCAAGTCAGACACCGAAGGCAGTATTTTACATTTAGCACATTTACTAAAAACAAAATATGTTGGGGGAAAAAGCTTCCTATAAAAAAGATCATATCACATTTAGGATCCATCTCCATTTCACTCTAGTTGTTTTTTTTTTTTTAATAAACAATCTAAGCTAATGCACACTGGAAAACTTTCTCATTAAAATTCATCCATCTCTTCAAACACGTTTATGAAGAGCCATCCAATTTATAAAGGTTCTGTAAAATATATGAATGTCTTGCCAAAATTAAAACAAAGTAATAGAAATAAAGCTGGAATAATAAAGGTGTAAGATCATTGCTCCATCACATCACTCACGCAGCAATTTCTCTGACAAGTGACAGATGACGCTGAGCCTCTGGGATAAGATGCCAGGACGGTGGCTAATTCGAAGGCACGGTAACTTGGCTCTGGACAGTTCCTGCTGGATCATTTTCCAGATTTTATGCAAATCTCCTGATTTTGAGTGCTAGTTTTTTGTTTTGTTTTCTTCCTTTCTTAAACATGCTGTAGGAAACACACACAAAAAAAAAACACCTTTGGAGCAGATGTCTCTAAGATTTGACGGCTCTGGCCTTTTTATATCCTCTAGGCCATTCACATAACTATATATTTTTTTTCCAACAGAGTTGCTCAAAAACACGGTGAGCCCTGCAGGCTCAAGGCTGATGATCCTCTACAAGTACGCTCTGGCGTACTCTGTGTCTACTGCAAACACAGCCATAAGTACCTCCCTTGTCCCCCATCCACATCTCCTGCCCTCTAGATTTGAGTGCCCTTCTATTGACTCTAGGCCCAACTGTCTGGTTTGGTTTTGGCTGACAGGAAATGAGCAAAAAGGAGTGTCAGGAGCCATGTGCTATAGCCACACTGAAGCCATTTTGAATATAGAGCTATGGGACAGTGGAAAACCCCCAGTTGGCTAGATGCTTGGGAAAAAGGTTATGAAACTAATCACATGCTTAGCTACAATTGTTTCTAGCAACTGTTTAAGAATGTGATTTATGCTGTACCTGCCGATATCTTGCTACTGATTACCTATGCTATTGTTGATATGTTGGTTACTATTGTTGGTATGGTGGCTGCTCAAGAACAATCGGTCTTAAGACGATGACCTGTGTCCCAATTTCTCCTTCCCTCTCTGAGCCTTAGTTACTGAAGAATATAAAAACCCTCAGTTGAAATTAATAAACTGACAGCTTGATCAGACCTACTGTCTTGCTGTCCATTTTTTGTGTCTCTTCTCCAGTCATTCTCTCCTAGGTTGGTTGCGACCCCCATTGACTGTCCTGCTGGTCGGGACATAGAAGTAGATCTTTGAAACTCTGCCACACATGATAAAGTCTAGAATGCCTGCTGGAGGATAGGTAGCCACGTGCATAGAGGCCCAAGTCATCCTAACCAAGCCTGTTACGTAGTCACCAGTCTGCAAACTGACATGCTACATGGGCAACCCTAAGATCCAGAAAACCAAAACCCAAAGACCTTCATGGTAATGTGTGGAATTGGAAGCTAAATATATGATTCTGTTACTTGCAATCTGGGGTGAGTTGCTCCAGCAAAAGATAGCTGTTACATGTTACATGACCATCATAAAAACTCTTGTTTTGAGGGGTGTAAGAAGGCTTTTCCTCATGAGAAATAATTTTTTCCCATCACCGCCAGTCCAATTAGCAATGAGTCTTACACATTCTTGGCACTTTGTTAACTTTTATGAGGACAAACAAGAGCTCAAAGGTATGCACACAGTGCAGAGGCTTGCCCA